AATAAGTTTCTTGGGGAAGGGCTGATATCGTAGCCTTGATATCAGTGGGTGTGTTCATGTATTATTTTAATATGATATGTCTTTTATACAGAGCTTGTTTTCAGCAGCTTCTCACAGAAGCCGCCCCAGTAGCCCCTCCTGCTACCAAAACATTGCCAAGGAAACTAATACAGTTTTATAGAATCTAGATCCTAAACTACCATGTATAGCCTGAGCATGGAAACCTGCAAAACTCCCTGAATTCTTGTGCTCTCTACTACCATACCAGAGCGTTCTTGAAAGTAGTATTTCAGATTCTCCTTTGATTTCTGCTTCAGTCAGGCAGCTTCACTTGCTTCAGTTGAAGGCAAGGGCTTTTGTCCATTAAAATGTTTTCTATCATTGTAAAATGATGAAAGCCTGAGCTTTTCATCAGTCTGCTAGAGGCGGTATTTTGAGGACATGAATAAATACAGAATAAACAAAGCTATGATTATAAAATCCTTATACTTTCTGTCTATATCAACATGAGAAAATGCAATTCATATACTGAAAACAGTTTGGCATATTGCGTTTAGGGGGTGATCTCTTTTTTTTTTTTTTTTTTGTAGGCGACTACAAGCTAATTTCTGTGAGAATCCGCCAAAGCAAGGAGCGTGTTCTCACTGAGGGTGGGGATCATGTCCCGCTAAGGCTTCACTGAAGGGTTCTCACAGTGAGCCGCCTGGATTCCCCTGCCTTCCCTTACTTTTTCCTTACAGTACAAAGAATACCGGAAAAAAAAAAAAATTCGTGTTTGCCTGTGCTAAATGTACCTAAGAGATACCTTTTCACGCAAATCGCACGGTTTGCAAATGATAGTTTAACTTTACCTGTTGTGGTGGGCACGTGTTTTGTCATATGAAATTAACTTGTGAAAGCCTTTGTATCATTTTTTGATTTGTGTTTGGCGACAACGCGGATCATATCGCATCGCGTTGATGGTTGATACAATTGCTAAATTAAAGGCATGTTTTCGGCTTTGAAAAACAACAACAAAAAAACCATCCCTCTGAGAGCTCATCCTCAGCAAAAACAACCCGAGGAGCAGTATAATAACGTAGCGTGATATTTTCCTTCCGCCTGCGGTATCTCCATATAGTTCTGTATCATTCTGCCTCGCTATTGTCTCTGCCTAAAGACAGCCAAGTCACTCCTGGGCGTCTTACCTGTAACCGCTACCTAAAAGAACAGACGGGCAGTATACGGAAAATGGCTCTAATTGCTTGGAAGAACGTAATTGGCGTTATATTTTTTCCGTTTCTTTACCTATTCTCCCGGGGTAAATATTAGCAACCGAACTGCTTCTCTTGACGTGTTTCTGCGTTTGAACCCCAAGAAGCGCACCAAATCACTGCAATAAAGTCCTCAAATCTTCCCATGCACGGAGCGGTTTTGATTTCTCTGCTTATATTCACCTCATCTCAAAGGAGGACAGCGCGTTGAGCCAAGTGTTCTTCTGGTTTAGGCGCTCCTCCGGACTTTCGCATTTTAAGTCTAAGGCTTTCAGTATGTTGGGGCTGAAATTCTGATTTTCCACATTTTAAAAGGGACGAGGCTCTATTTATAAATGTTACAGAAGGTTTCGTTACTTCAGGAACAACAAAACAGGAATAGAGCTGCAATTTTCAAGAAAATAGGATTTCAAAATATAGATATAAAAAAAAAGTAGCGGAGACGATGTATAATTCAATCAAATTACAGAAAATTGCTTTAAAATTCAGAACAGTAGCGATCCATTATGTCTCTGTTTTATTAGTGACAAGTACAATTACTCTAAAATAAAGAACACTGGTGAATATATAATTGGCTGTAATCATGTTAGTGTTTGAATAAAAATGACGGGGACATTTAACACTTTGACAACAAAATGTTCAGAAACAACTTATTTATTCAAACAGTTTTTATTTGCATCCACGTGAAGGAGAAACACACTTTTGCTTACGATAAATCTAAGTTTTTTAGCTTTCAAGAAATATATAACTAAAAATATTATTAATTATTTTATTATCCAATCCTTAAGTCTCCTGAGTACGACCGTATTATTATTATTGATTACTCAGTACCCAAAGGACGCCATCTACAGGAAAAGGTCTTTAAGCTTAACACAAATCTAATCACTGTTGATTTAAAAAAAAAAAAAAAAAATCAGAGTTAATATTCCTCTATAAACCCGGCTCCGATTTTACCCACAACACCGATCACAATATTTGCTTTGTAATTGCTTCTTGCGATTCAGTTTGTTATAATTTGACACGATCTAGGAATCTGTTACAAGGGGCCTCTTCTCTGAGGTACGGCGTTTAAAAAAATAAATTGAACTCCATGAAGAAACACTTTTTCCCCTTCTAAAGAGACTCTTTTCTCTCAGGATTGACTTGATCGTCCCTGAAAATGCAGAACAGCCCATGAGATCTCTCCCTTCAAACCAAGCGTGTGGAAGATGCTTGCAAAAGAGCCCTGAAAACAAAACAACTTGATTGAAGGCAGTTTGTGCAACAATTGTGTCACGGAATAACTAACGTTTCTTTAACTTATTTCCTTTTTGGATATGTCAATAAATATCAGCTACGCCAAGCACACTCTCATCTCTTCTTACACTGCATCCTTTGCCCTGTAGCTTGGTACTTAAAGGTGCCATTTAGCCGTGTTGCTCCTTTCTGAGCCCTTGCTGCGAAACCCATCGGAGAGTGCCCCTTCGTATTCTGATGAGACAAATACAGACCCGCGGAGATGGCATGTACGCGCCGTCATGCCACCCCAGTTCGAGCTAGAGGAAACTTTCAGGGCTCTTCTTTCTGAGACCTTTTTCTCTTTCTCTCTCTCTCTCTCTCTCTCTCTCTCTCTCTTTCTTTCT